TGTGGGTTGCTTTTTTCCAGTGCGTTTTGTGGAATGGTTTTAGTTTTTTTCTCACTCGCTTTTGATGATTTTTGGGATGTGTTAATGTTGCTAGGGGGAGGTGTCTGTTGTCATGCAGGAAAATGCGCCAAAAAATGCATGTACATGCATTTCCATTGTGGTCTATAGAACCAAAAACTCAACCTCCTGCAGGCAAAAAGTTCCTGAACCTTTCCAAAAAATGCACCAGTGGAAAAGGAACAGATGTGAACGTGACCTATAGGAAAACGCAGAGGTGTGACCCTAGCCTTAGACTGCACTGTCTATTTAGAAGCCCTGCACAACAAAAAAGTGACGGCAGGACTATGAAGAAGGAGACTGGGAGCACAATGGTGATCTGACTGTATATCTGTTTCTGTGACTGCAACTGAGCATTGCATTGCAATTTTTTTTTAACACTTCAATAAACAAAACTTTTTTTTTTTTTTATAAAAGATATAATTCACAACAATAACATCTGGTTTAAAATTTGAGCAAAATACAAAAATAAATGATATTTTTATGTCATCAGTCAACAAATCAGTATAACAAATCATGCATGTATCTTTTATAAAACACAACTTTATGTAAGGCTCACCATCTGACCATTCAACCAACTACTATGTTATTTGTAGGACCTACCTAAACAATTCATTCAATTTGTATCCAACCAAGCAGGCCTTTGCACTACTTACTTGTTGGTAGACATAAAGGAGATTGTACAGTGTATGGGGAGCCTTAGCATGTATTCATTTTTGAGGTCTGGATATACGAAAAGCTTGTGTGACGCAACATCATTGGAAGAACAGAAAGTATTTTAACAGTCTTGAAATAAATTCAAAGGGGCTATTAATATAAACCGCGTAATGCTTATGTTTCAAAAGTTATCTCATACAATCAATGTTACAATTTTATAGCGTTGGCTACAACAGTAGAATGGCACACTCAGCTATATAATGCCCAAACTATAATAATAAATACAAAAAAAATTAAATGCCACTGAAAAAAATGACAAGGGGACGGAAAACGAAATAAAAAATAGTTTTCACATTGAAAGTGAAAAGTCATAGTGCTTGTCTGCCTGTGTATGGAACAATCTTCCATTCATTTCTGGGATTAAAGCAGAACTCCAACCACCAAGGTTCATCCAGTGTTACTAAACCCACAACAGTAAAATCAGTCTGTATATGCAGTAAAGCATGCTGTCCAGGCAGAGAATCAAGGGTTATGCAGCCTCATGGGACAATCAGAATGAAATTTCCTCTTACAAGCTTTAACCAGTGCTCTGCTGGACACTGATAGAAGTCAGAAGATTGCTCTAACTGCTGATGAGAAAAAGCTATTTAGCAGTTTATATTTACTAAAACAGTTGCATTTCCATGTTGTGTGTACTGTGGGAGACCAAATAGAGTGAATGCAGGGTCCTGGGTTTAGTAACACTTTAAGGCAAAAAAAAGTTATCTCTTGTAATGTTTACAGTGCCTCTGTTTACATTATAATCCATGATTTGCCGGATACTATGGAGCTGTGGGTTTGAGAACTGTGATTGTAACAGTGAAGCAATCTCTCTTTCCTCTACCCCTGTTCATTCACCAAATGCCTTGCATTCTGTTCACATAATACGCACATACACACACGCATTGAGCGTAGTTTATACAAATATGGGAGAGGTCACGGATGTTAGCAAACATGCAATGGCCAAGCAAACATGCAAGAGGGTTAGCTATTACTAGGGGCTCCTTGATCTGTGGCTGTATGGTCACCAATTAATGGTGTCAGCATAGGGGCTAATGACAAGAATGATCTTTTTAGCTATCTGTAAGTGTGTGTGTGTGTGTGTTGTTTACACTGGCCATCAATGTACGTGACTTTTTCCCACTGACCCCCCCAATTAATTTGTTTTAGCAGGGGTTCCCAACACATGAAAATTATTTCAAGGGTTCCTCTGGGACAAAAAGGTTGAGAAAGCCTGGGTCTTATTCTTAACCTGTGCTTTGTCCATACAGGTTCACTTTAATACGGGCCCCATCAGCAGCTCATGCACACCTCTCCCTTGCTCCCCACCACTCCATTCGACTGACAGGAGTGAAGAAAAATTCTTGGTGTTTTCTTCAGATGTGATTACATATGTGACTCCTCACTTTCCCATATAACACTGCTGGTGCTTGGCTGGTCAGTCTCCCAGCGGCCAGGAAGACCATCCTCAGCCCTGTTCAAGCTGTGCAGGATAACTCTCTTGCTCCCAGCGATGGGAAAGCGAATGGAAGGTAAGTGTGTGCAGCTGGTAGGGCTGGCATCTAAGCGAACCTTCTTCAGGAGTTCACTTTAAGATCAGACTGTTTTTTTTCCGCGTATTTCCAAAGTACTTTAATCTGCACAATCTGATATTTACTATTACAGCCCAATGGAATCATCTTTGCCACAACCAAGAAAAAAAGCACTATGTACTGCAATATATCGGTACAATTTTACTGCCTGGACAGGCAACTTTTCTGGATTCGTGATGTTATCTACACAACACAATTCCTAAAACAGTCCTTATAAAAATATGTTCAAAATGCATAAATAAATAAAAAAATTCCCTATATTCCCAAACAATGATAATATAAAAAACCAAGTTTCAGTGCAAGGATATACATACTGTATATCATAGTTATTTCCTGCTGTTTATTTTCACAGATTGATAACAATGTCCCTTTCAGTAGGTCTGCTGTCCATCTTAAAAATGGTTTGCTGCTTTAAACAAAGTCTGTTCGTAAAGGTTGTATGATTCTGAAAATATTCAGCAAACTTTAAAGTAGAACTATAGGCAAAACTTTTTTTTCATTTTGGAAAGAGTAAGGGAGGGTTACAACCCGTCAGATTTTTTTTCACTACCTTTGTCCCATTGGAAAATTTCTCACTTCCTGACTCATAACAAAATAGGAAGAGGGAGGAAATCCCTGCAAATTAAGGGAATTGCTTGGGGGCCCCAGGTCACCAGAACAAGTGTTCCCATTGGAAAATTTTCCCTCTGTTAGTTTTCTGGGCACAACCCAAAATTTGGGATTTTCTTTTACTTTCACTTTCAATGATAATGGTAAACAGGACAAATAGAGAGGGTGAATCTCCCTAATGGGGGTGCAGACAGCAATAAAAATTGAAAAAGGGTTCTAATCCATCTCCATTCTATCCAAAAAATATTTTTGCCTTTAGTTATACTTTACTGCAAATCCATAAATGGAGAACCTATAGAGGCTTATAGAAGCAGGGCACGGGATAAAAATACTAATAGACATTCTAAGGTAAAAGATGTGGTTCCTGCTACTGTCAGTCAAACTCCTGTGAGGAGGGAGTGGGGGTTGTGGCTTGCCCATGCTGTGTGTATCTATGGACACACACAGCCTGGCTCAGAAGTACAACCACACGGGTTCCCTCTTAACACACGGTTTGCTAAGGGGGCACTTGGAAGGAAAAAGAGTAGACAGCGCCAGTGGGGACCCGCCAAAGAGGAGGTAAGTGACAGCTCTGTGTAAAATCGTTGACCAATGCAGGCACGTATAACATCTTTTCTACTTTATGAAAAAAAAAAATAGTCTTTAACATCACTTTATTGCATGTTACCTGCATTGGCATGTGGATTTGCCTCTCATTTTGACAAACCAAAGCAATTCCTCTCCAACACACATGCATTGCAGCGCAATCCAGAGCATAATGCTCTACCATGCCTTGTGGTGCGCAGCATCGGAAAAATACTGCATGTGCATTTTTGTGGTCATTCTGGTGCGCTGAGCTTAATACAATGCACATGAGCATGTGACATGACGCACGTTACTGATGTACATTAATATAATGCACAAGAATGGCAAAGTGTGAATGGGCCCTGAAACAATGACATTGCCAATACACTTCTTGGTTCCCTGCAACCAAATATTTAGAAATGGGGTAGAATAAATGAAAGCGGCATTTTGCTGGAATGTCCACCAGAATCGTTGGAGTTTGGTTTATTGGAACATTTGTGATCTAGAGAGGTCATTCAAGCCGTCTCTGTGTGTGTACACACTGCTTCCACTACTGCTAAAGGAAACATCAGCTATACTGATTTTGCTGGACTTGTGCTAATTCCTAAAATGCTAATACAAGAACATCACCCTATTGCTGAACTCCAGCCAAATACCCTGAAATAGGGAGTGGTTTTATCTGCCAATGTGTGCCTTGTCTGTACAACTGTTTAGCCAGTGTTGTGATCCAGACAACTGGCAGACACATTGCCAGGTCCCTGACCCTCATTCCACATAAGCAATGTGCTTTACCCTACTGTATGCATATGCACAATGTTAGACTGACAACACTGCAAAGCGCAAGAGAGCCCTGTCTGACTCAAAGCATGGCTCCCTCTCTCCCCAGCCTAAGTGCTGCTATACACAGGATTGCAGGAAGATAATATGAAGGCATAACTAGACAATGTTATACCTGATTGGCCTTTAGTTTTAATTAGCTGACCTTATTTGTTTAACATCACTAAATATACTCTTTTTTTTATGATTATTTTTCTAGAAACAGTTAACTTGTCCAAGTTGCCCTCCTAAACAATGTGTATGCACTCACCCCTCCAATACATCTACTGGCACGTCGATATCTGCACTGCATTATGGGAATCGAGCTGTTTTTCCTGGTTCAGGATTATTCAGCTGACATGATGAAGACAAAGAAATGCCAGAGACAGCAATTAATATCTGAAAATATCCATCCTGACTGATGTGGACATGGAAACCCAATGAAAATATTTGATGTAAATGACTGTGGTTCTGAAGCTGCAATGCAGTTATATGGCTAGATAAAAACAGTGCTGTGCTGAGTTTTTCATTATGGATTAAGAACTGTACATAATGAACACATTAAAATATATAATATAAGCGTTTCAACAGAAAAACATTGTACAAAACATTTATAAATACATATATACAGTACATTGCTGTATGCTATGACAGTATGAAAAGTAGTTAGTATCTTCTCTGCAGCCGCGTGCGAGGGTCGGCAGACAGGCTGCGGTATTTGTGCGTTGGTACTGCATTTTCCACTGGCTGAGCTGGAATATGGTGGATGCTCTAAAAAATAAAGGCACATATAAGTTTTCATAGAATGACAATGTTAAAGCTGAACTTTTATAAGGACAAGAAATACTAGGCCTGATCATTAAACTATCTGTAAACTTAAGTCCTCATGCACACGGGTCGTTTTTGCAGCGGCTTCTGACGTTTTTTTCTACAGCCAGTAAACCCCCCAGCATGTTATCCTATGTGTCCATGCACACATTGACTGTAATCAACGTTTTTTTGGCTGGGACTTTTTTTGGCTGGAAAAAAAACCCAGGACTAGTGGGTTTCTAGAGGAGGTTTTTTAGCTGTAAAAACACTCTTAACGCTGAAAAATGCAGGAAAACATCACAAACAGGCATTTTTGGACTTACTTTACCAAAAAAAAGCTAAAACGCAAACGTGGGAAAACGCAGCTAAACGCAGTAAAACGCTGCTAAACGCTAATGCAAAAACTCTAAAAAAAAGCTGAAAAACTTACGTTTTTAACGTGACTTTATACAGATAATATTACCAGCGTTGTCAAAACGTACAGTGTGCATGAGGACTAAGGCATGTCAAATGGCAATGCTTACCTATTACCTAAGCAGGTCATATGGCTGAAAATGTGAAGGGATATCTAATACCATTATTTTCTGTGTGGTCTAGTGATCAATCCAGTTAAAGAGGTGGTGACTGCAGGAGTTCCCCTGTGTGGGGCATTATTGACATGTATAGATATCCTTACTAACTAATTTCTCTTTCTGGTCCGGTGCAATGTCTGGAAGAAAGGGGAAAACCTTACTATACTTGTTTTATTTATTTGTGGTGTGATGGTTCAACGTATACTGTATATACATTGGGTTGGTCCATATGAAGAAATATTTCTCCAGTCTCTGCATATGCATCCTTGAGAAGGTGGATTTTGCTCCAAGAAGCATGCTGGATGGACACATCTACATTTGCAGTATGTCATACTAATATATGTTGATAATATCATACTGACATTATGGGGGAGATTTACTGAAACTGGTGCACACAGAATCTGGTGCGGCTGTGCATAGCAAACAATCAGCGTCTAATTTCTGGTTGTTCAATTAAGCTTTGACAGTAAAACCTGAAAGCTGATTGGTTTTTATGCAGAGCTGCACCTGATTCTGATTAGCAAATCAACCCATATATATCTGTTAACTATTAAAATTGGCTTTCATTTCAGACATTGAGAGGCTTCCTTTATTTAAATAATATTCAATAAAGAAATCTAAAGTGTTTTAAAAAATTGTTGTCTGTAAATATGTGGCACATAATACCCCAAAACAATGTATAATATGGCTTAGCATTGAAAGTGTATGTAAATCCTAATAATAATCTTCTCTTATTTACTCCTTGTTGGTCTGCTAAATACACTCTTATTAGCCCTGCCCAGTTCACCTCTTTGGCCTACAGAACATCTTCTATTTTATAGTGATGAGGAGAGGGGGAGGTGCTGTGTAGTCCTAAACTCTTCCTGACCTAGGGTGACAATGCTGCTCCTACAGTGGGCCTTGTCACTCTAAGACAAGAAGTGTGTTTCTGGCAGGATCATCAGATGAAAAATTTGCACCTACCGAACATTTCTTTTCTGGGAGTCCACTGAAGGAATTCTTTTAAATTTTTATACTGCCCTCCCCACATCTAAAAGACTATTCAAGACCGCTTACTGCATTTGAGAAGCTCTGCTTTACAGACATCCCCCAGCGGCATGTTATATCTAAGCTCTATTCCTATCTTGAAAGTACTACCACATCTCATTCGCGGAAGACTTGTTCAGCCTGGCAACGTGACCTACAACTTCAAATCTCACCAGAGGACTGGGACCACATTTACGACCATATGCATAAAGGCTCCATTTGTGTCTCTACACAAGAAGGCAATTATAAATTATTTTCCAGATGGTACAGAGTTCCATCTGTGGTTCGTAAATTTGATCCTAACGCCTCAGATCTATGCTGGAGATGTTCCCGGGCAACAGGTACTCTTCTACATATCTGGTGGGACTGCCCGCGGCTGCAACCCTTCTGGAGAAAAGTTTTGGACATAATAACACAAGTAACTACATACACCCTAGACTTTACCCCAGCACAGTGTCTACTTCATCATTCCTCACTTTCAGTGAGGACTTATCGTAGGTCGCTTGCTTTACACATGATAAATGCGGCAAGACAGTGTATTCCGATCCATTGGCGATCGGAATACGTTCCCACCGTGCGAGAGTGGTTTCTTAGGATCATCAGGTTCGCAGAGATGGAGGAGCTGATTTCAGTGGCAAAAGAACACCCCGAGAGATTCAGAAAGACTTGGGCGTGTTGGAATCATTTCAAACTACCGATACTTATCATTGTCTAATGAAGGAATGAGCGAGAGGAGATTTGGTGACACGGAAACCCCTAGAACGTTCACCTCAGGAATAGTTACATTACGGGACTTTAACAAAATTGTATTTCTAAGTAAAGATTGAATCTGTCTCAGCCTGGAAGCTGCTAACTGATATGTCTGGTTTGGTTATGCCTATTTAGTTATATATCTCATCCTTCCCCCCATTCACCTCCCCCTCCCCCCCCCCCCCCCTTTTTTTTTTTTCTCTCTCTCTCTCTCTCTCTCTTTCCTCTGTATTCGTCCCCTGTGTCCCTCCTCACCCCACTATGATATTTTTCCTCATACTCATTCTCTTCCTCCATTCCCTTGCTCGTCTCATTCCCATCTCTTCTTTCTCTCAGTTTCACCTCTTTACCGTATTCTAACTAACTATATTTTTCATAAGGTACAGAGTACTTACAGACACACAGGTGTAACAATACTCCTCAAATCTAATCTATAATGTTCAGGTACGGAATCCTAAGACATATATGCCTTGAGTTGACACGATATTGTTATATACCTCACTGTCCTGTCTCTTTAGATCTCCCTACACAAGGGCTATTGTACCCCGTCTTTCTATATATTACATACTGCTAACATCATTGCTATGGGTATATACTATGCCTTCCTCTTAGGACTGTATTTCAGGTTGTGCTACGATTTACTTATATGTCCTGAACCCGTCTGCGTTACGGGAGAACATGCTTAAAGACTTGCGCGGACTGCGATCCGTATTTGTTTATGACTTGTTATGCCTTTCATATCTCAATAAAAATTTCTTGGGAAAAAAAAAAAAAAAAAAAAAATTTTTATACTGCCAATTACAATGATGGACACGAGCAACAAAAGACACCAGCACAGGGTAACCCTATCCACAATCATTCTGCCTCAGTCAGTACTGACAGCAAAGAAGTAAACATATAAAAGGACCCCAAGAAAAGGATTTTACAGCAAGCACAAAAATCCTATTTTCTTGAAGTTTACTGAGGGACACGTGAATTCCTTAGTATTTTCTAAACTGTTAGGATGTCCAAAAATAGTGCAACACAGGGGAGGGCATCACAGAAACAAAGGCTAACAGGCCTAATTAAAATAAAACTGGGGATTACCAGCAGCTCAAAGAGCTGCCTGAAGGACCCAATGCCCGGAGCTGGTATCAGATGAGGTCTGAAGATCCATCGGGTGGAGCTTAGCAAACAAAAACAAAAACAAGAGACCAGGTCTTGCCTCAATGGGACATCTGATTCCACCATGGTGGTTAATGTATGCCACTTTCATGACAGTGTCCGACTGAATCCAGATTGGATGAATATCCAACAGTTTACCGATGCAGAGACAGTCAAATCAGCTGAAGTTCCAGAACTGGTGTCTGATGATGTCAAACATGCTGCCAGGCTGCCCAACCAGACAGGCTGGCAAATGAAGGAATTAGGATCCAGGACCTGGCTTCTTGAGCCACCAAGCCAGGAAGAACCTGGTCCTCAGTGCCAAATTATGTGACTTGGTCCATGATGACAGGTCGTAGCGAAGGAGAGGTCTTGAGTGAAACTAAACAAATGGAAATGTCTCAAAGGAAGCTACCGTCAGGCTCAAGACTCTAACGCAAAAGTGGAGAGTCAGGCGACTCCTAAAATTGAAGGCTCAAATCTGAAACCAGAAAGTCTAAAGTTTCTCCAGTGGAAGAAACATTTTGGCCTGAACTGTGTCCAAGAGTAGACTCAGATACTTCTAATGTGAGGCATAACCTCTTCAGAGATGAGGTCAGATAACCTATTGCAGTTCTGTTCCTGATAACAGAGCAAAGAATCCCCAGTATACTGGCCTGACCTGAATAGTGGATGTAGTTATGGTTGCCACCTCATCCCTTTAAAACCGAACACATATTAATTACACAGGTTCTGTGGCTGATTAAGGTGGTAATTAAACTCACTTAGTGCCTTCTCGACATTAAATTAGCCACAGAACCTGAGCAATTAATATGTGTTCAGTTTTAAAGGGATGAGGTGGCAACCTAGATGTAGTTGTCGATGGCAGGTCTGTTGCAGACAGTATAAAACTGGGTATGGTGGTTATTATTAGGGTGGTCCTGTGCTGGCAAGTGGCTTTTTTTGTTGATGTGTCCATTTCTTCTGGCATCAGTGTGGAGAAGAAAGAGTTTAAACAACACTTGTTAGGTATTCTTAAATTAAAACTCACCAATGTCGATTTAATTGGAAAACCATTTGCAGCCCCTTGAGGTTTGGTCATTGCTTCTTGCACAGCTGAAAAATGCATATAAGCCAATTAGATTTTGTGTCTTTAAATGTTAATGTGAGCTTATTAAAGGTTTAATAAGAAGAATCCGGGCAGGAGGCACATCATACCAACTGTACGTTTTGGGCCTTGCGCTGATTTTTGTGTTCTTAGTTCCAGTTCACCCCAAGAATTGCACAGAACGTGCTGTGTGTTCCTGTGCAAATCACATGCGATCCAGGTGCAGTGTGATTTCAGCCCATTCATTTGAATGGGTTGAAATCACACTGGATTGCATCAAAAGTAGTGCATGCACTACTTTAACCCCTTCGCACCGACGTCACACAAATATGCGGCCTCACAGAACTGGGCTTTTTTCTGTGGGGCTGCAATATTGCGTACCTGTCTTTCTGCTGGGAGCGTGCTCCCAGCACAAAGACCGGGGCGTCACTTAGAGTCCTGAGTCCCATTCTAACGATCGGGACCTGGGACTCACGATTTCGGGTCACATGATCACTGTGATAGCCTCTGAGTGGCTATTGCAGTGATCAGTCACTGTACAGCCTGCCCCCATTGTTTTTTTTCTCTATGAATGGAGGAGAGATACATTGTATCTCTCTAACTCCTTGCATACAGAAATATAAAAAAAGGTTTGTTAAAAAAAAAAAGATAAATAAATATTTAAAAAAAAAAGAAAAAAAAAAAAAAAAAAAAAAAATACCTAGATCAAGGTTTGATCTAGTTCAGTGCCAGGGTTAGTGTTTGGGTCAATGTCAGTGTCAAAGGTCAAGGTCAGTATTATTATTTTTTTTTTATTATTGGTATCAGTGTCAGTGTGTTTTAGGACAAAAAACAAAAACAAAATGTGCACTATTGTTTCTGGGCTGTACTGTGGGTACAAACAACAAATAACATACACATATATGGTATTTCTGCGATCATCAAGAGCTGGAAAATTTATTTTGGGTTGTTCTTTGGTGGTAGGTTATGGTAGTAACAAGAAACACACAGCTAAATTAAAAAATATATATATTTTTTTACTATTTTGGGCCAGTTTTCCTTTGATAATAAAAAGAATCAGGAGATATCCATTACCATTTACCACCAAATGAAAGCCCAATTTGTCCTGAAAAAAACACGGTATAATTCACCGGATGTACAAAGTAGTTATGATGATATGGACGGTTTTACTAACACATGTCAACGTTGCAAAATTGTGCTTAGGCATTAAGATTTGTTTTACCCTTAGGCGTGAAGGGGTTAAAGATGCACAGCAACTGGATCGCATAGTACTACAGTACCATGCATCGAGTACAGGCAAACGCACTGCATTTGCAATCTGTGTTTGGGGTGTCATTAAGTTAAAACTGACACCCGCTGCAGATTGCAGATGCAGTGCGTTTTGAACGTGGTGCAGGAAACGTACATGGAGCGAGGGTTTTCAGCACCGCATTCTGGGGTGAAATGGCCCTTTTTTTTTAGCTATACTTAGGCTTAAAGTGCTACAAGAAAGCTGTTTGTAAATACTTGCTGAATCAAATGCTCTTCAGATGAGCATTTACAAGGTAATATTAAGTAAAGTCACAAAAATCTTTGGGAAGGATCACTTGTGACAAAAGATCTTCGAACATTTTATGCACATTTTGCAACCACAGATATAACTTCTTATCCTGTGAAATACTAGTAACGCAGTGCTCTGTGTTGTAATTATTATTATACAGGATTTATAGAGCGCCAACAGTTTGCTGAGCGCTTTACAATATAGTGGGAGACAATACAGTTCAATACAAGAGGGATAGGAGGGCCTGATCCTTGGAGCTTACAATCTAAGACTTGTCTGCACATCTAGGCTGCAATCTTTTTTTATGGCATATATTCTTATTTAATTATACTTTTTATGCAGTAATATTTTTGACATGAATATTATGGCAGTCTATGCCTACAAGCTCTGTACTTACTCTGTAGCCTCTGGTTAAGGCGATCAAGAGACTGGAGCAGTCTCTGTTCTTCTATAGACAGAGCAGTGTGTCCTGTGTTCGGGGATTTGTGGCTCTGGAGATTGTGCTTGTTTGCCTGCAATGTTTGCATGGCAGCTAAGATTTCTCCATCTGTCGCAGATGTTTCCACCAGATTCTCTGCCAGCATAAACTGAGCCGTGCTTTCTGAAACTACATACAGACAAGAACCAAATATAAACAAGAGCTTCATAATTGGGTATGACTAACGTTCTTATATCTCAGAACTTCTCCTCTCACGCTGTATACGTGAGCTTTACTGCAGCTCTTTTTTAGTTGGGTTTTTTTTTTTGCCATCTGTTTGCCGTTTGGGGGAAATTGTCTTCACTTCTTGCCCTTCAGACACAACAGCAAGTAAGAGGAAACCATTAACAAAAATAAGAAAAAACCCTACTTGGTTGTCCACAGAACAAGGGTTTCCATTGGGAAATCCCCTCTATTGTTTTGGTAAGCATTTCAAATTCCTCACTATTAGTCCCATTGACAATGGTCACCAGAACACATTTAGAGGGTATATCTCCCTGTGCCCTGGTGAACGCAGGCAACTGTCTATAAAAGGTTTTGATTAGAGATACACTTAAAGAAGAGTTCCAGTAAAAGTAAAAATAAAAAAAATAAAAGTCAGTGCCTAAAAAAACTGTAGCTGCTGACTTTAAAAAAACAGTTACTTGTCCCTCGATCCCGCGGTGCCCCCCCGCAGCCAGTTTCACCAGCTGCCCTGTGTTCCCGGCGCCGGCATCTTCAATGTGGGCACCGGGGTGTGACAGCTTTAGTTTTCACCTGGTGCTCGCTGCGCATTGTGAATGGTCCTGTAGTCTTCTGGGACCTGTCATGTGTTCCAGAAGACTACAAGGGGGAGGGAGGACAACATCCGCTTCCAATCGTCTAGGCGATCACAGTGGACGTGGGAGCGGGTACCTGTCAATTTCGGGTACCCGCTCCCCCCCAGCTCCTCAAAGGATGCACACAGGATGCAATTACCTTGGTGTATGGAATTGGATCCTGAATAGTTAAAAAAAATTTTGTTAGATTACAATCTAATTCATATCTACGGGCAGCACAGTGGCTAAATGGTTAGCACTTCCGCCTGGCAGTACTATGGTTGTTGGTTCGAATCCCAACCACATCACCACCTGCCTGGAGTTTGCAAGTTCTCCCTGTGCCTGGGTGGGTTTCCTCCACACTCCAAAGACATGCTGGTAGGTTAATTGGCTCCTATCTAAATTGGTATAAATGTGAGTTAGGGACCTTAGATTGTACACTCCTTGAGGGTTAGGGACTGATGTGATTGTAAAATATTTATGTAAAGCGCTGTGTAAATTGGTGGCGCTTTATAAGTACCTGGAATAATCTAATCTATGCAATATTGCACCTCAAATCAAAGTTGAGAAATTGACTTATCCACTTGGGTTCTATGTAGTGTTTTAAAAAGAATGGGAATGGCAGCAAATTTTCCCAGCACTGGTTGAAAACAGCTCCGGGAATCAACAGCTCTGGAGGGTTCTGGCCGGGGTTCACGGTGGAACAGACTGCCAACATCGAGCACTAAGCCCAGGAGCTGAAATGATAAGCTTCTGAGCTTCTTTTTCTGCTACATAGACATCTCCAAAAATAAAAAACACTCTGGGGGACCAAGAGGAATTAGGAATGGGGGATTTAAAATAACACCTAAAATCTCGCTAGTTGTAGTTAGCGTCTGTATTTGTTAATATGACAAAATCCTTATAACTTTCTGTTTATAGCTATCCATATGTAAAGTAAAGCCAAGCTATTGACATCATATGGGACTGGATGATGATGATTTGACAGTCTGGGCATATGGGAATATGCTGGACAATCTTCAAGGGTCTGAATTGAAAGGTTTGGAACTCCTCGTTGACTGATCATTGAAGAACAATTGTGGTGGTTGACGGACTCTCATTGGACAATAGAACAGTAAAGGGTTTGGCTGTCCCGTGATCATGCCAATGTTTTGCTGTACACTCACTGTGGATTGTGAAAAGAATGAAGGTACTCGTGGACAGCTTGTTTCTCTGCACATACAGCATATTGTACTATTTTGAATATATGAGTGTGAATTAATACAAAGATGTCAATGTTTTAAAGACAAATTCCAGTTTAAAAGTAAATCCCCCATCTGTCCCCTATTCCACAGCATAGCAATGAAGATACACAGAACAGATAAAAGCAATAGCGTGAACATATTAGCATGGATCCCTTTCAAGGTGAATTCAGAATTAGAAATCCAACATGAGAACCTTTTTAAATTCATAAACAAAATGCTGTAAAAAACATCACAATGACACATTACATACCTTCAACCGAAGCTGATGCAGGGTGTACTTGTGCAGGCTCATGTGTACTGGGGATTGGGCTTATCTTCACTGTGTGGAAGTTCTTTGTACAGAAAAAGGAAATTAACAAAAAGAAGGTGGAAATAATCATAGATTATTGACCAAAAAAAACCTCTCTTGCAATACACACCAAACTAAGCATGTGCATGTGACTACAGATTCAGTCTGTATCAGGTGGTCATTTCAACAAGAGGAGGGGCAGAGAAATCAGGACCAAACAGCCTTTTTACACCATGCAGAGGATTAACCCCTTAGGTTCCACAGTGAGTATAACAAACATGCTTTACTGCATATACAGACTGATTTTACTGTTGTGGTTTAGTAACACTTTAATTTGAATGGGGCTTTGCTTTCCTGAAGAAGAATCAAAGCTGAGGGCACATTTGTGAAGCACATTGGTGACCTTTAATAATGTGCCTTTCTTTTTCTTTTAAAGCCATGATAAAGCCATGACGTTGCTTTACAAATTGACCCTAACCTTTAATTAAGGGCTAAGGTACATTTTACGATTTGGGTGATGGTAAAGTGTGAGGATTAACCTTAAGATTCATGGTAAGGTAAGGGTTCAGAAGGTGTATAGGGCATGCATGTCCAACCTGTGGCCCTTCAGCTGTTGCAGAACTACAAGACCCATGAGGCATTGCAAGGCTGACAGTTGCAAGCATGACTCCCAAAGGAAGAGGCATGATGGGACTTGTAGTTTCACAAAAGCTGGAGGACAGCATGTTGGACACCTATGGTGTAGAGAGACATTTCAGTGCTACAACTTCTGTGCCAAAAACTATATGGAGTTTGGTTCTTCGTTCTGAAAAAACGCCATACTGTTATGTGCACACAGGGGACCCAGGCTCACTGGCTCCCAAGCCATTTTATTTTATTTTTTTTAATTTCAGGTACTTAATATAGCACTGTCAATTTACGCAGCACTTTTACACACACACACACACACACACACACACACACACACACACATTACATATATATATATATATATATTTATATATATATTATACATTCAGTCAGTCCCTAACCCTCAAGGGGTACACAATCTAAGGTCCCTAACTCACATTAATTCATACACATATAGGGTCCAATGTAGACAGGAGCCAATCAACCTACCAGCATGTCTTTGGAGTGCGGGAGGAAACCAGAGTACCCAGAGGAAACCCACGCAGGCACAGAGAGAAAATGCAAACTCCAGGCAGGTGGTGCCATGGTTGGGATTCAAACCAACGCCCCTAGTACTGTCAGGAGGAAGTGCTAACTATTTAGCCACTGTGCTGCCCATTTTGGATGACAAGTAAGATATGTGCAACACTTCAGATCAAAGATGGGCAGCACAGTGGCTAAATGCTTAGCACTTCCACCTAGCAGTACTAGGGTCGTTGGTTTGAATCCTAACCACGGCACAACTCGCCTGGAGTTTGCAAGTTCTCCCTATGCCTACATGGGTTTCCTCCAGGTACCCTGATTTCCTCCCACCAGGGACGGACTGACCATTTGGAAACTCGGGCACTGCCCGAGGGCCCGGGGTCAGTAGGGGGCCCCATGAGATGCCCCTGTTACCTTTTTTATAGGCTTATTTGAGTTTGGGCAAAGGACACAGGGGCCCCATGATCCCCTATTGCCCGGGGGCCCCATGAGTTGTCAGTCCGCCCCTGCCTCCCACACTCCAAAAACATGCTGGTAGGTGAATTGGCTCCTGTCTAAATTGGCCCTAGTATGTGTATGTATGGATGTGAGTTAGGGACCTTAGATGTACACCCCTTGAGGGTTAGGGACTGATGTGAATGTACAATATATGTAAAGCACGGTGTGAATTGATGGCGCTATCTAAGTACTTGTAATAAATAAAAATGATAGTAGACTTTTTCTATTAAAAGTGTTCAGAACGCCATGAATTTGTGTGTACCACACATCATATATCATCATGTGGATAGTAAAGATGTATCTTTGTTAGTTGTTATGGTGCACACAATGCATCTGCACACACCCGATAATAATATAAATGGTATAAATTCTAAAATAAGGATTTCAGATGTAAAAAAATGAACTCAGCTGACAATTTTAGCATAGTACAGCAATCTACCTGAGCCAACCATGCAATTACATAATATTGTTATGACATCTGAAGTACTGGGGGGATATGAAATAGTCAGACATTGTGTAACCACTTTCATTTAGACATCTGCATGCTTATGAAGTCATGTCGCCTGTAATCTGCTCCGTGTTCATTAGCTGCCATGTTTACACAATGATGAAAAAACACTGCTGATATGTTCTGAACACACCAGTGATTATCAGCCGCACTTTCCTCCAGACACATTACACTCCATTCACTAAGATGGATGAGTTATTTCAACTCCCTTCGGTATTTTATCTCATAATCATTTTCTCCTAAAATTGTTCCATTGACAAACACAATTATGACACAGCAGGCATGTGAAATTATAAAAGGGACATAACATTATTATAAAGCTTAAGTAAACCTTAGCAATGAACTTTTATTCGCTCCATTTTGGTCTGCTAAGTAAGCCATTGAAAGAAATTAGAAATATCCTCGTGATGTTGAACCTGCCAGAAACACAGCTCATTACTTCCTGTGCATGCAGCCTCTGCTGCACTGAAATCCCAAGCACTTTTACCAGTCCTGCCCTGCTCTTTTGTGTGGACTACAGAACACTTCCCCCTATGTTATACAGACTAGGAGAGGGAAAGTCCAATTCAGGAAAGCAGCCTAGGGTGGCAATTCTGCTCCTCTATAGATTCAGTACAGTGAGTGAATGTTGCTACACTAGGGCAGGATGTTTGCTTACTGGAAGGCTTACCAGGTGAAAATAATGGAAGGAAAAAGAAAAAGAAAACTAATGTAGACACCAATTCTCTCAAAGGAGTATTAAGCTGCTATATATTAAATTTTTGTACTTAAGTTTATATGCACTTTAACGCATACTTTATTATATCTCTAAACTGTTTTTTCTGCAAGGTTCTGACCTGAAAAGTACAGTCTTTTGCACAGAATATTTGCTTAGAGGATTATCTAATTGCCTACCTGTGAGAGTGGAGGTCTCCATCCTGCTGAACCAGGTCTGCCTTTTCGTTGCTCCAGCAAAGCTTTGCGTTTGTTCTCATTGTTATCTACAATCTGCCTTCTTCTTGGAAGAGTTACATAACCTAATAAAAAGATCAGAAAGAAATAAAGATTCGTTTCTGGAGTTAGCTGCCAAGGAAGGATGCTGATGCAGTGGGAGCAGGAGCTAAAGATGGTTGTGGTGATGGGGGAACATGAGACAATGGTGAATAGGAGGGTGGGAACTGTGGAGGGCTTAAGCATATGGATGGAAGTCAAGTCAAGGAAGGGGATAAATGATGGAAAGAGGAATGGCTAGGACCATGTTGTGGTAGGTAAGAGATATATGAACCACACTGAACACATGAAAGCATGAGGAGAGCTATCAAATATCAAAAGGAAAATAGGCAAGTGAGAAGAACAACCAAGAGAACAGTACAGAAAGGGAGTTTGTAAGCGGAGTGTGGGAATTAGACTGGTTCAGGTTGAGATGAGAGAAAAAAAAAAAAGTAGATTGGGGTGATTCGGAGCTGTGAGGGAAGTTGGCACAGCAGACTTGTACACTCACAGACTGCAGTGCCAGCCAGCCACAGTGTCCCTGATCACTGCCCCAGTGTAGGGACAATAAACAATGCAGCCAGCCCATCACCTGTCCCAGTGAGCACAAAAGCACCACCATACACCATACCAGTGTCCTGATCACTGCCATACCAGCGTCCTGATAACCGCCATACCCCAAACCAAGGCCCTGATCACCGCCTTATCCCATACCAACACCCTGATTACTGTCATATGCTATACCAGCGCCCTGATCACTGCCATACCAGCGTCTTGATCACCGCCATACCTGCAACCTGATCACCGCCATACCCCATATCAGCATTCTGATCACCGCCATGCCCCATATCAGTATCCTGATCACAGCCAAGCTGCATAACAGCAACTTGATCACTCCATATGCCATACCAGCATCCTGATAACCGCCATACCTTATACCAAGGTCCTGATCATCACCATACCCCATACCAGCGTCCTGATCACCACCATACTCCATACCAGCATTCTAATCACTGCCATACCCCATTTCAGCATCCTGATCATCACCATATCCCATACCAGCATCCTGATCACCGCCATATCCCATACCAGCGTCCTGATCACCACCATACTCCATACCAGCATTCTGATCACAGCCATACCCCATATCAGCATCCTGATCACCGTCATTCCCCATACCAGCATAATGATCACTGCCATACCCCATACTAACATCGTAATCACTGCCATACCCCATACCAGCATCCTGATCACCGCCATACCCCATAACAGTTAGAAATACTTCACGTTTAGGTGCTGAAGCCCTAATGACAGCTCAGATTATTATCTGAAACCTTTTGCATAAACAAAATTCTTGTCAAAACATGGCGTTATAATGTTGAAAATCCTACCATTAACAAAAGGAGAGGAGAAGCCATTCACTCTAGAAAATGTTTTCCAGCTATTCAGTGTTCCTCCATCAATGATAACATGGGACAAGTTAGGTCGAGTCTGTAAATTAGAAGGTAGATCACCGGGATGGAATTCACCTAGAACACAACAAACAACATTAAAGGGGTCTATTGTAAAAATGAGGCAAAACACCTTTAGAAATATTACATTTAACTAAACTGAAATGAAAAAGTAAATTGAAAACTGAAACTTGGAAATTATGATTCAGAATTCAGTTTCCAAAAAAACAGTATTAAAATGAAACTGGAGGGATATGGAAAATGTTTCAGTAAAATCACATTTTGAGTTATTATTGCAGTGTTAGAGAATTATTTTTGAGAGATGTTACAATCTTCCTCTTCTATATTTTTGCTATTGTATTAAATAAAGAGATATGTTACTACAGGGAGCTATCTGTGACTCAGTAAAATGACTCTCTTTCTCTGTTAAGCCAGCTATAGACAGATCAACCTGCTGTACCAGCCAGATTTCGATCCTCCTATGGGCAGGCTGGTTGATATGAAGTTGATCTATCAGTCAACTTCAGTACAACCAGCCTGTATTTTTTTTCATAAGATCACTGCTGCTGGCTTTAGCAACGGCAGTGATCATTGTATTGCAATGGAGGGAAACCTTCCACTGTCAGAATACAATAGCATAGCGGGAGGGATTCCCCCATTAACACTGACTGTGTTGATGAGGGAATCAAGTGATTTTCCTTTCTTAAACCTGGGGTGAAGGAGAGAAAAGTGCATGATGTATGGCAGCCTTAACTATATTATACTTTTATATTATACTATGTATAACATGCCGATTTCTGGAATTATTCTTTAACATATTAACCACTTGCCTACCGGCACTTATACCCCCTTCCTTACCAGGCCAATTTTCAGCTTTCAGCGCTTGCCGCACTTATGATTGATTGCAGAAATTTTGATCATTACAAATAGAGCTTTCTTTTGGTGGTATTTAATTGCCACTGGGCGCTTTACTTTTTGCCTGTGCACAAATTTTTTATTTGTTTCTTTTATAAAAATTTTTCAAACACTATTTTTCTCCTTCACTGATTTGCGTGATGAGGCGGCACTGATGGCATTGATAGGCGGCAGTGATGGGCAATAGGCAGCACTAAAGGGCACTGTAGGCAGTACTAATGAGGTGGCACGGATAGGCGGCATGATAGACAGCACTAATTAGGGTCACGGATAGGCGGCACTGATATGCAACACTGATCCACTGATAGGTGACACTGATTTTGGGTACTGATAGTCGGCACTACTGCATCACTTCTGGGCACTGACTGGATTGGCCCCCCTGCACTGATGGTAACTGGCCCATGGTGGGACTGGTTGGCACTTGGGTGGCATGGTGGGCAGGTGGGTGGGCATATCACTGCTGGGCAGTAGGTGGCACTTTCACAGGTAGGTGGCACTGCAGAGTGGCACAGGTGGGGGGCACTGCTGGGCAAAGGTGGGGCACCTGGGAATGGGTGGGCGGGGCTAGTGGGCGCACTGCTGATCGGAACTTGCGGGGGTCACTGCTGGGCACCGATCAAAGGGCATGATCATCAGTGCCCTGATGGGTGCCGAACAACTGCCGGTTCTCGGCAGTACTTTCCTCACGATCTGACAGCGTGAGGAAAGTGCTACTTGCATTTTCCTGTGATTGTCATTGGACACCGCTGATCACGTGGTAAAAGGCCGGTGGGATCGGCCTTTCACCACATGCCATTTCTGGAGATCGCCGGGTGCGCGCCCCCTGGGGCACGCAGGAGAGCGCGTTCTGGGAGGACGTCATATGACGTCTTTAACTGGCATATGCGCGGTCGGCAAGTGGTTAAAGAGATCAGTTTGATTTAAAGCTGAACCTTTACATTTAAAGCCTTACCTTCATTATTGCACAGTTGTACAGTTACCACTGTACTGAAGTTGCAGCAAGTCAGATGGAGCCCACCTCCAATTTTGGTTCTTTGATATCTAGCATCACCTAGTCTTTCCTCCCCTGCCTGTCTGTCCCTGGCCCATCCTTGTCATTCCTCCCCTGCCTGACTGTCCCTGGCCCATCCTTTTCATTCATAGGATTTCAGTTCTTTCAATCATGAAGGCTCAGCATTACATATGGGCATTACCTAGGGCAGTCTGCATGCAAATTCAGACTATCTAGGACTACCCACTGCTAAAGACTGACAGCCACCCATCAAGGCATTTGGGAAGGAAGAAAATTTACTCATTTTGGAATTATCCATAGTTTAGCTTTAAGTCTGGTCACATATAAATTTGATGCCCCAAATGTTTGTTTTTGCCCCAAATGTAAAGAAATTATCACAATATTGTCCCATATATGACCAGCTTTATGCAGATAGCACTCACCTGGAACTGAGTACAACAGATAACTTGGTGTAACATACCAAATAATCTATGATCCACAATTTATCAACTCCAAACCCTTTATTCATTAAAAACAAAAGTTTGGTTACATCTTGGCCAGAAACCTTTCATGTTTTTATTGAACTCAGCAATAAGTATTATTACTGAAGTACATATCATTGGTTATATTTGTGAGATCATGACAAGGGTGAGCCTGCACTGGGACCTGAACTCTTTGCTTTTACCTTGATGTAAGGTTTCTCAACATGGACAAGCAACCTGACCTTTTTTTTTTTAGTATATTTATCATTTTACAAGCCAACTAACCAACGTACCAGCAGCAGAGTTTTTATGAGTTAAGGCACTTCGTACTCCTTGCCACAAAAGAGCAATTTCCTCATCAGTGGGAGTATGGTCTAGACGCAGTCCATTCTCTCCATATACAGGCTTCCGTTTGGCAGAAACAGGTAAGCTTTCTTGTAAAGCTGATACCCGATCACTGTTCAAAGCAAGGATAGATTTTGTGACATTCTCAGCATCAGGAGGGCCAGGTAGTTGTGCAGCAATCATATTACCCAAAGAACGAGATATTGTTTTAGAAGGCATTGCATCTCTTGGTAAACCATGACTTGGTGACTGCACAACTTTGCTCAAATGATTAACCTGTGAAATGTTTATGTTCCCAGGTTGAGCCTTGGTTTCTGTGATGGCCTCACTATTATTATTGTCCATGGCAAGCCTGGCTGGAGGATGAGGTACCATCACCTTTCCCTGAGTCTTTGCAATTTTATTTGCTTCAGTAGCTGATTGGGGCCGTATAATAACACCTCTCCTATTCCGGTATGCAACCACAGATTGAGCTTTAGCTGATTTTGGGCGCCTTGCTATCTTTTTGTCTTTGACTTCGGCGGTGTTCTAATGGCATGGGTATGGCCTACAGAGTTATTTTCTTCTCCTTTGGCTGCCATCCATGCCTGCTTGGTGAAATGGTAACCCGTAGAATAAACAGAGCTAGGAGTCCCAGCAGAAGGACCTACTTGATCAGTTATGGAAACCGTAGGGACAATAATATGTTCCATAAACTTTCCAGCAGCAGAAGGCTCCAATTTAGGCTTCAGGATAGCTTCCACGTTCCTAATTGTTCCTGATGCCTCTTTGTTATCCATTATTTTGTCCATTTCATCTAGCCATCTTAATTTTTTATTTTTTCTTATTTTCCTTTTCCTTATGCAGTTCCACACTGTCCCTGAGGCCATCTGAGCCTTTCTCCCCCAGCTGAAACATTTTGCCAATACCCAGAGTCCTATTATACCCCTTTTCATACTTTGATCCTTTCTTTAATATACTTTTTAACAATCTGTGTCCTTCTTTTCCAGCACTGTTAGTTCTTGCTTTTATATAAAACATAGACAAAACAGCATCAGGATCATCTTGGGAAAGACCACTTTTTTTTCGATCTTCTTTCTCATCTTGCATAACACCAGATTTCATATTAGAAACTAGATTTGGTGAAGATAAGTATCCCCGCAATGGGGTGCTCTGATTGCTGCTTTCGACAGGTTTACCAAGGTCACTTTTCATTCTGTAAAACTGTGAATTATATGAACTAGCCATGACATCAGAAACAGAATTTGTTGAATGGATTTCATGTATATGTTTACTTTGTTTTAAATCAGAGTTGGGTTGGCAGTTACTGGCAGAACTTCCAGTTAATGGAACAACTATTGGAGTTGCTAAGGGCTGAGTCATTGTAGGCTTTATTGATAAGCCAGGGCATTGTACCATGTCTTTGTTATTTTGTAGCACCATGGTTTGTGTAGCTTCTCTCGGGGTTGGGTCGGGAGTGGCCCAAGCTTTGCTTGGCCTAACCACAACAGTTGTACTTTCCCTAAAGCCCATGTCAGGATAACCTGTCTTTTCCTCTGCTATAGGCATTTCTGAGAAGTGATTTATTTCTTGTGTTTGTAAGAAGGCAGCGTAGGAGGATCCATTGTGTGAAGTAGTATCTGTCACTGCTTGCTCAGATCTAGATCTGTGCCACTCTTCATCTTTCACAGATAAGTTTTGTTCTCTTAATATATCTGGTATGAACTGATGAGGTTCAGGAGAACTTTTTCCACTGTTACTTTGATTGGTGTAGTGAGTTCCACTGTTCACTGTAGATGAGATTTCCAACAATGCTCTGTGCAAAGTGTCAGTTGGAAACCCTTTCACTGTATTATTTTCCTCGTTTGCAGTGTTCAGACCTTCTTCTAGACTGTCCAAACTTGATAAACTCCCCGAATGTGCTAGTTGTTCCACTTCTTGATGGAAATTCTGAAAAACAAATAAAGGTTTAAGATTTAGTGTGAATTTAATAATCACCTATTTATTTTTAGTAAAGCAAAATCACCTTTAATTGAAGAACCAACATATCTAGAAAAAAATTGCAAAACAAACACGCAAAGGTATGCAAAGCACAGTGGCTAAGTGGTTAGCACTTCTGCCTGGCAGCACTAGTGGTCGCCGGTTTGAATTCCAACCACAGCACTATCTGCCTGGAGTTTGTGTGTTCTCTCTGAGCTTGCGTGGGTTTCCTCCCGCACTCCAAAGACATGCTGGTGGGTTAATTGGCTCCTGTCTAAATTGGTCCCAATATGTGTATGCATGAATGTGAGATATTAACCTTTAAATTGTAAGCTCCTTGAGGTCAGGACCGGTGTGAATGTACAATATATATGTAAAGCGTTGTGCAAATTGACAGCGCTATATAAATACCTGTAATATATAAAGAATAACACTAGGCAGAATGTTCACAGAAACAGTTATACTTTGCTGTGGAGCCTATTATTCCAGTAGATGCCATGTTTGAGAAAATGACGCACCAAAATCAGAAAGTAGTTGGGGATCACTGGAAAGGAAGTCCTGGAGAATACTTCTCTTTACAACACTATTTTAAATACCTTGTGTTTCTGATAAATTTTTGAAAAATATTAAGCCCAACTCTAGGCTCAGTACCTCTTGCCCAATTAACCACTTTCCACCAGGTCATTTGTTTACATGTACCTTCAGGGTGGTAAAATGATTTCAAAGGGTCCACTTTTCCTTTGGTCTTCTCCCATGTGGGAGGACCTCTGATGATGCAAAGAACACAGTTCATGTGATGATGTCTGTGCACTGCTCTCTGCATTAATACACTGTGAATGAAAAGTGCCATGGGGTTGGTCCATGACAACTTTCATTCACAGTATGTCTTTAGTCTTCAGGGTTAAATGACACAGGCCTACTTATACACAGAAGATGGAGGACATCATGTCATGACAAGAAGGTACTACAGTGGAAGGCTCCATACTGAAGATGAGCGATGCAGGGAAAGCTGTTTTTTTGTTGTAAACCCTCCAGGGGTATCATTTTAGAGAAAGAAAAATCTGGCCTTTAAAAATGACTGATTTCACACCTCAGGGTATATTTATTTATTTCAGGTACTTATATAGCGCCGTCAATTTACACAGCGCTTTACATATATATTGTACATTCACATCAGTCCCTAACCCTAAAGGGGGTACAATCTAAGGTCTCTATCTCACATTCATACATACACATACTAGGGACAATTTAGACAGGATCCAATTAACCTACCTGCATGTCTTTGGTGTGTGGCAGGAAACCGGAGAACCCGGAGGAAAACTTACGCAGGCACAGGGAGAACATGCAAACTCCAGGCAGGTGGTGCCGTGGTTGGGATTCGAACCAACGACCCTAGTATTATTACCCTAGTATATTACCTCTGCATATGTGTTAATGTGTGTTAAAAGGCATAGGTGTGAATAGGGCCCTAAACCCTGGACACATAAAACCAGCTTGGAAATAAAAGAAGCCTTAACTTAGAAAGCATCGACTTTTCTGACCTCTTAATTGATCATAACAATTCCCTGTCTGTCATACTGATCCAGTAGCTTCAACACTTTTTAATTCTTTAAAATTCAGAAAGCAGTATGAGAACAAATTCAGATAAAAAAGTCCAAATTAATTTTAGTTGTTGGTAAAGAAAGTTCTATAAAAACAGCCAACACATTTCTGGGGTAACATCAGTTCCCCTTCATCAGGGCTCATCACAGGCTAAACCTCGGATGGACTCAGAGAAAACAGTGAATTCACACATCTATATTGAACCAGAATTGAACTTGATAGCAGATGCTCAGCAGTAGTGTTTTTCTTCTTCCTTGCAAGATCATCTATCAGCTACCAAACCTCTCCTTTTCCTTCCCACTTCCATTTGTTTGGAACAAGCGCTGCATGTTAATTGAGTCATGAGCACTGCCCAATGCTACACATCCCATAGTTCTTAGTCCTTGGGAGCGAGCAAGAGATGGTGGCTGCATTCAAGCATACGGTGTAACAAACGTAAACATCCTCTAACAGGATCTCAGATTACAGCAGCAAGAAAAAAATTGGAGATTTGAAGATTGGAAGCAACAGAAGGTTTTAGGATTTTAAATTAAGAATATATACTTAAATTTTTGCTTTTTAACCCAAAGTTTAGGGCGTTGTAAACTCACTCCCCTGTCAATCTGCTCTCTTCTTCTATCAGCATGCTACTTGTTAGCACATGTGGACTGACTGGCTCCTTATCCTGCTTCTCTCTCCCCCTCCCTGAAATATGCTTTACAGGGACTGTATGAGGCTGCTTCAGGTACTTAAAGTGTTACTAAACCCAGCACCCTGCTTTCACTATATATGGTCTCCCACAGTACAGACAACATGGAAATGCAATTATTTTAGTAAATATAAACTGCTAAATACTATTTCTCATCAGCAGTATATAGCAGTCTTGTGGCTTTTATCAGTGTCCATCCAAGCACTGGTTAAAGCTTGTAGGAGGAGTTTTTATTTTGCTCTAGGAGGATGCAGGACCCCTGACCTCTGTCTGGACAGTGCTGATTGGCCCTAGGCTGATCACATGCAGTCTAAGAAAAAAAAAAACATCTATCAATACACACCAAACTGAGCATGTGTAAAGTGTCTCCACACGATATGTCTTATCAGGAGATAAGAAGGGGACACTGGAAGAAGGGGAGGATTAGAGAAGGCAGGATCAAACAACGGTTTTACACAATGCAGGGGATTAACCCCGTAGGTTCCTCAGAGAGTATAACAAGCATGCTTTACTGCACAGGTGTCAAACACAAGGCCCCTGGGCGGAATCTGGCCCTCCAGGCCATTTCATGTGGCCCTTACACCTCTCCTGCAGGTACCCCCTTTCGTCCGCCCCCACCTTGTTTCAGCAGTTGGCAGCAGAGAGAATGGAACTCCTCCTGCAAATCCTGCATCTCTCAGTGCAGCTGCATCACTCCCTCACCTCTGCCTCTCCTGGTCTCAGTATTCAGCAGGCTCTGATAACTGACTCCACTCCTCCTCTGATCCTCCTCCAGACCCTGCACTTTCTGCTTTCCAGCTCTGCCCCCAAAGGGTGTGCACGGTGAAGTTAGGGAGGGTGTGGGATTCTTGACATCTGATGTAATGGGTGGGGTGCTTTGGACATCTAGTCTTACAGATACAACCGGCCCTTTGAGGGCAATCATAATGCAGATACGGCCCATGATGAAATGGAGTTTGACACCCTGCTTTACTGCATATACAGACTGATATTACAGTTTTGGGTTTAGTAGCACTTTAAACGGTTTGCATTTAAACAATTACATCAGAGAATTATTAAAGACATTTATTAAACTACCATGTACAGTTGTGTTCAAAATAATAGCAGTCAGACATCACTAACCTGATCAATCACTGTTTTGGTAGAAATTATATTTCTACATGGCAAATAATTTACTAGCAGGTGTAGTAGAGTAATAGAAATCCAACAGACCCAACAATCATGACATGCATGCTGCTGATTCTGTGTAATTGAATCACTAATTGAAAGGGGCATGTTCAAAATAATAGCAGTGTGGAGTTCTATTAGTGAGGTCATTCATTCTTTGAAAAACAGGTGGCAATTATTGCCCTTATTTAAGGAAGGAAGGCAGCAAATGTTGTACATGCTGGTTACAGTGCATTTCTCTCTGAAATTCTGAGGAAAATGGGTCATTCCAGAAATTGTTCAGAAGAACAGCGTACCTTGATTAAAAAGTTGATAGGAGAGGGGAAAACATATAAAGAAGTGCAGAAAATGATAGGCTGCTCAACTAAAATGATCGCAAATGCTTTAAAATGGCAACCAAAACCTGAAAGACGTGAAAGAAAGCGAAAAAATACCATTCGAATGCATAGAAGAATAGCCAAAATGGCAAGGACTCAGCCAACAATCAGCTCCAGGAAGATCAAAGAAGGTGTAAAGTTACCTGTGAGTACTGTCACAATTAGAAGACGCCTATGTGAAGCCAAGCTATCTGCAAGAAGCCCCCGCAAAGTCCCACTGTTGAAAAAAAGACGTGCTGAAGAGGTTACAATTTGCCAAAGAGCACATTGACTGGCCTAAAGAGAAATGGCGCAACATTTTGTGGACTGATGAAAGTAAGATTGTTCTTTTTGGGTCTAGTGGCCGGAGACAGTTTGTCAGACGACCCCCAAACACTGAATTCAAGCCACAGTACACTGTGAAGACAGTGAAGCATGGTGGTGCAAGCATCATGATATGGGGATGTTTCTCATACTACGGTGTTGGGCCTATTTATCGCATACCAGGGATCATGGATCAGTTTGAATACATCAGAATACTTGAAGAGGTCATGCTGCCTTATGCTGAAGAGGAAATGCCCTTGAAATGGGTGTTCCAACAAGACAACGACCCCAAACACACCAGTAAACGTGCAACATCTTGGTTCCAGACCAACAAGATTGACGTTATGGAGTGGTCCAGCCCAATCCCCAGATCTTAATCCAATAGAAAACTTGTGGGGTGACATCAAAAATGCAGTTTCTGAGGCAAAACCAAGAAATAGAGAAGAACTGTGGAATGTAGTCCAATCATCCTGGGCTGGAATACCTGTTCACAGGTGCCAGAAGTTGGTTGACTCCATGCAACACAGATGTACAGCAGTTCTCAGAAACAGTGCTTATACAACTAAATATTCATTAAGTGATTCAAAGGAAAGCAAAATCTTCAAACATTTTTCAGTTTATATAGTGAATGTTTGAGTTTGTAAAGAAGAATACAAACACTATTTTTTGAACAGTCTAATATTCACTTTTCTTCAATTTTTTTAGAGGAACAACACAAATTTGATATATTTTTCTTCATGTTTTGATTTGGAATAGAATGTGTAGTGTTCCCAATGCATTTGTGTGTGGAAATAAAAGCTATTAGAAGGAATTTGAACTTTATTCACTTTTTTCAACACACTGCTATTATTTTGAACACAACCTACATGTGTAATCACAGGACTACAGGCTTTCTTTCATGGATACATCCGGTCCAGCTGAATTATAAACATGAAACTATTGCAGAAACAATAAAAATGTCTTCAGTCAAATCAGCACTATTTATTACTTTGTTTTCGTTACAGCATTCTAATTACACACAATTAGAGGATATTGCCAGGATACTCCTCCTATTCAGCTAGGATTTTAACCCTTTCAGCCAAATAAGACCTCACAGGATTTTAGGCTGCACTATAAACTTGAAGTTCTGCATGGACTGTTGGTCAGCCGAGGCTTGATTTGTTATGGACAGTGGATAACTCTACTTGCTGTTTTACTACACTGCTAAGCTTGTCCACACCTTGACTTGCATTGTACGGCCCATTCATAAAATGCAAGTTGCAGCCTGCAGTAAGTCAGAGTTCTCTCTGCTTAGTGTCGCAGAAAGAAAGCTGTGATTGAAGACAGGCTGGCCACTGGTTATGGAGTTCTGATGCCAGCATAGAGCTAAGCATACTTTTGAAGCACATTGCTGTGCTTTATAATTGGCCATACCACTGCTTTATAAATGTCGCCCTTGAAGTATATACTTACCTTATTCCTTGCTCCTTCAGGCTTTCATGTCTGCTAGTTTTGCTATTCACAACTGGTCCCACAAAGCCGCTCTTCTTCTCTGATCATGAAGCCACTGCCTTGTTGAAGTCATTACAGAACCCTAATATTGAACCTAACACTATACACTGAAATGTTCAACACCAGATCGCTAACCTTAAAGTCAAAGAAAAGCCTAACACTAACTATTCTTTAAAATGTTCTCCCCCCCCCCCCCCCTCCCTCTTTTACCTATCCTGCATACCCTGTGTAAAAAAACATCTGTGTACTTTCCTCTTTTTAATCCACTTTGGTCCAGTCACGTAACTGAGCCGCTACCAGAGTGGCTGCTGCAGGGGAGAGGAGGGAGCACCACCAATGGCTAGGCCATGGAATTCTATCCTATGGGTGACGTTATGACCCCCCCGGAATTCATAGCCATTGTTGAGTAATCGCTTACACTTAACTGAGCCGCTCCCTGAGTGGCTGCTGCAGGGGAGAGGAGGAAACACCACCAATGGCTAGGCCATGGAAGTCTATCCTATGGGTAACGTTATGCCCCCCCCCCGGAATTCACAGCCATTGTTGAGTGATCCCTTACACAGAGGAGCCAGACAGCAGGATTATGTGACTGGACAGGATCAAAAAAAGAAGTACACAGATCTTTTTACACAGGGTATGCACATTTTAAGAATAGTTAGTGCTAGGGTTTTCTTCCAGTTTAAGACTGAAGCCCAACTCCAGGGACTTCAAAGATATCCCTTGCAGTGGGGCAGCACCCTTACTGCAAGGGTTAACTGTTAGTAATGTATAGGGGAGAGTTTTGTACATGTTAACTTACCTGATCCTGCACTCCCACAGCAGATGGCACTCCCCTAAGGTCTGGCGGTGGACTGTTCCTCTGCATCATCAGGTCCAATGCAAGGCTATGGTGACCAGTCTAGCAATGCAGACTAGAAGGTAAGTAGATATTATTTTCTATCTTCCCTAGATCTTAACAAGCAATTAATCCTTGCAGTATGGACATAGCCCCACTGCAACGGACAGTTTCTAAGTTTCCCGGAGCTGGGCTTTAACGTAAAGCGGAACTTCACCCAAAAGAGGAAGTTCCACTTGTTTAAATCCTCCCCCCTCAACTGCCCCATTTGGAATTTTTTGGGGGGAGCGGGTACCTGACTTTGAAAGCTCCCACTTCTGGTTCGGATTGCTGCGGCAATCTGTGAGGAAGTTTGGCCCATTCTTCCTTTCCCCCGCAGCCTTCTGGAACGCACACAGGACATTCACAAAGCGCAGTGCAGTTTGTGCATGCGCAGTAGGAAACTGGCAGTGAAGCAGGAAGGATTCACTGTCGGTTTCCCTTACCTAAGATGCTGGCGCCTCCACCCGAAGTCAGTTAAAGAATCGGCTCAGGTGAGGACATCGCTGGACCCTTGGACAGGTGAGTGTCATAGTAAGTCAGCAGCTGCAGTATTTGGAGCTGTTGACTTTCAATTTTTGGGGGAGACTGAAGCTCATCTTTTAATGCCAATTAAGCATGTCTAATTTTCAGTGTTAAACATCCAAATTATTTTGGAACTTGACTGTAGACAAATCCTCTTCATATTGCCTAGTCTTTTAATTGTACCTAAAACAAAATCTGTGAAGATGCAGGCCAGTATGTCCTTTAGATCCAACACTGATCTCTGAGCTCACTGCAATCTCTCTTTCTGTCACACACAAACACATATGGACACTGGAGCACGAGAAGGAGGTTGCACAGCACATATTCCTGTGATATTATGCCGGAATGGCTACATTCCATAAACTGCACCCCCCCCCCCCCCTTACTGGCCACTAAGAAAATCTCTTTGGAATGTCAGTTGCCAGGAATAAACGCTAGCGTGCTACTGACTATATGGAAAGTCTCGTACGATCCAGTACAACTTCCCGTGTGTAGCTACGTACCAGCATGCAATCAGAAGTGATGTAATGTACGTGTGACCGCTCTGCTTGCTATATCTTTGGCTATACTGGTTCGGATTGGCATGGAGTATTCATGCATTGCTCTGTAGATAGATTGGTTCGCCACACATAGATTTGTTTGTAGTCAATGGTCACATCTTCCAAATGGAGTACTTTACAGAATGAATTAAAGAGTCAGCAATTCCAATTGCTGTGCTTGGAGTTTTGGCCTTCATACCATTACTCCATTATTGCTATTAAACATATTTCAATCCTGAAAAC